GACCAATTATGGATCGATGGAACAAAAATTTTACAGTAATATTTCTGTATGTGAGAGCAATACTTGTACCAAATTTTATATGGATGTCTTAATTTAGTAATGAATTATTTGCGTTTAAGTTATTTTCGGGAGGGGACCTTGTATGGGAGCTATGTCCAATTATGGACCGATCCAGAAAATTTTTTCTCTGAATGAATTCTATTCACATAAGATTTTAATTTGTAAAATTTTGTAAAGATTTCGAAATTGTGACGGAAGTTATTAACAAAAAATCCATTTTCCGGGAATATGTACTTTTGTATGGGAGGTATATGAAATTGTTGACCGATTCTGGCAATTTTCAGCAGTAGTCAAGCTCTTGTGTAGAAACGAATGTATGGTGATTTTCATGGAATTATCTTGCATAGTTTTCGAGAAAATTACATCAGAATGTGTAAAAAATGCTTATTTTTTTCGAGGTTGTTTCAAATTTTGATTCATAACATTTCCGGATGTGAACCGATTTTGCTTATTTTCAATAACTGCCTAGGATAATAATAAATATTTTGGGTGAATTTCGATAATTTTTGTTGCTTCGTGTTAACGTGAGAATGTTTTATACAGACAGACAGACAGACAGACGGACGGACGGACAGACGGACATAGCTAAATCGACTCAGAATTTCATAAGGTCCAAGAATATATATACTTTGTTGGGTCTCAGATGAATATTTCTTGGTGTTACACACGGAATGACAAAGTTATATATACCCTCTATCACCACTGATGGTGGTGGAGAGTATAAAAATTATTTAAAATCGGTTATTAAGTATTGCACTAATGTTTGTCTATCTAGTGATATATAAGACATCGTGGTATTAATTAAAATTTTAATATGACAAATTAGTCCATTAGTTTTTGGAAAAAAATTAATTTGAATGTAAACAAAACAGTGAACCTATTTAAGTGAGCGGGAGTGTATATCAATATTTGGTAATGAGTTATGTGCGTTCAACTGATTTTCGGGAGGGAACCTCGTATGGCAGCTATGACCAAATATGAACCGATCGTGAAAAAAAATTTGAAATAATAATTCTGTGTACAAAAATAGTATTTATGACAAAATTTTTTATGGATATCACTATTTGGTAATGAGTTGTGTGCCTTTAAGTGTTTTTCTGATGGGGACCTTGTATGGGAGCTATGACCAATTATGGACCAAATTTCACAGTAGCATTTCTGTATATAAGAGCAATACTTGTACCATATTTTATATGGATATCTTTATTTAGTAATGAGTTATGCGCGTCTAAGTGATTTTCGGGAGAGGACGTTGTATGGGAGCTATGTTCAATTATGGACCGATCTAGAAAATGTTTTCTCTATATGAATTCTATTGACATGGAATTTTAATTTGTAAAATTTTGTTAAAATATCAACATTCTGAGGGAAGTTATTAACAATAAACTCATTTTCCGGGAATATGTACTTTCGTATGGGAGGTGTAAGAAATTGTGGACCGATTCCAGCAATTTTCAACAGGAATATGATGATTTTCATGGAATTATATTGCATAGTTTTAGTGAAAATTAAGGGTTTTTTTTCGGAGTTGTTTTAAATTTTGATTCATAACTTTTCCCGATGTAAACCGATTTTGCTAATTTTCACTACCAAACTGCCTGTGACAATAGGGAATAATATTCTGGCCAAATTTCAATAATTTATTTCAGTTTAGTTTTACGTGAGCGTGTTTTACACAGACAGACAGACAGACATAGATAAATCGACCCAGAATTTCATACGGACCAACAATATATATACTTTGTTGGGTCTCAGATGAATATTTCTTGGTGTTATACACAGAATGACAAAGTTATATATATCCTCTATCACCACTGATGGTGGTGGAGGGTATAAAAAGCTTCCAAAATGCAATAAAGTAAGGCAGTGTTTTTGTAATTTTTAAAATTCTGGTATATCTTATTAGTATGCTTACTTAGAATGCATACTTTATTGATTATTTATTACGTCGGTTTTGCAGAAAATTTTTAGAGAAACGATTTTTGGAATTTATTTTTAAATCTGTGGTCTAATCACGGCATTCGATATCGAGTAAAATTAATCGAAATTTTTAATTTTTGCATTATGATATTCGATATCGAATAAAATGTATCGTAATTTGAGATGACGACATATGATAGCCAAACATCTGTAAAATGCAACTCTTAAAATCTTATTCGATACGTCACACAGTGGTATAGGAAAAAAAAAGAGGGAAATAATTCGGTAACTTCTAAACGGTTAATCCGATTTTAATGAAATTTGGTATGCACAAAGAGGAGGTGTTGTCGAGTTTAGGTTTTGAATTTGGACCTTATAGGCCAACCAGGGGCCCGGCGGGGGGTCCTCAAATTAGGACACCTCGGCTATGTTAAATTTTTAAAACGATCCTATTTCTTCATTTGAGTTCCGATTTAAAAAAATTTCGTATATAGAATCTCCTCATCGAGCACTATAAAAAATGTCGTCGTAGCAGTAAATTATCTCTTATAGTTTAGGAGATATTCGCATTTGAATATTAAAATTTTAAAATTTTTACCGTCCTTACTTTAGTTTTTTTGATAATAGCAGGTCCAAATATTTCCGATTTTCGCCATTTTTTTTTATTTGCTTAACAACAAGTTTATATACCAAGCAGTGAAAGAATTATGTAAAAATCATGACTGAGTCCAAAGTTATAGGCATTTAAATTTAAAAAATTAAAAAAAGGCGATTTTTTGTCATTTTTTTGGGAAAAAAGTATCTTTTTCTTTTTAAGTTATCTAAAAAGTTTCTAAGAAGATGTATATAGAATTTATACTTTTTAGAAAGCTGACTTTACATAAAATACGATAAATGAAACAAAACCTAAAAATTTTTGATACCGAGGGGACCAGGTCCATCCAAAAAAAACCCTATTTTTTATGGAAAATTAAATTTTGAGCAAAAATTCTCAAATCGCATAGTCGATATCAAATTATAGTGACCTGTTTTATATGACCCAATAAGTTCTTAATCATTTTGTAACGGGTTTCGATAACCCCGCCCCTGGTATGGATATAATAGGCAAAAAACCAAAAAATCCCATTTTTGGGATTTTTTAAAACTTTTTTGGGAATTCCGGGATTTCTAATAAGAAAATTCGAAATTTTGATTTAATTTTGGATTTTAAGTAAAAGAATCTACCTAACTGTAAAATTTCATCAAAAAATATTCATAAATAAAATTTTTATTGCAATTTGAAAAATTTGTATCTTCGCAAAAACTGAATAAAAAACATTTTTTAATTTTTTTTAAAAAAAGTATTCCGCGAATTTTTTAATTTTCAAAAATTATATACAGTTTTGAAAAATAGACAAAATTACCTTTCCATTGATATATAACATGCCTACCTAATGTTTTTTAAGTGACAAATTAATTAGGGAAAACTCAACATCTTTTAGAAAATTTGCCTAGCACTATTATTTTCATCCATAAGGTTAACTCTTAAATTTGTTACATATATGGATGAAAATAATAGTGCTAGGTAAATTTTCTAAAAGATGTTGAGTTTTCCCTAATTAATTTGTCACTTAAAAAACATTAGGTAGGCATGTTATATATCAATGGAAAGGTAATTTTGTCTATTTTTCAAAACTGTATATAATTTTTGAAAATTAAAAAATTCGCGGAATACTTTTTTTAAAAAAAATTAAAAAATGTTTTTTATTCAGTTTTTGCGAAGAAACAAATTTTTCAAATTGCAATAAAAATTTTATTTATGAATATTTTTTGATGAAATTTTACAGTTAGGTAGATTTTTTTACTCAAAATCCAAAATTAAATAAAAATTTCGAATTTTCTTATTAGAAATCCCGGAATTCCCAAAAAAGTTTTAAAAAATCCCAAAAATGGGATTTTTTGGTTTTTTGCCTATTATATCCATACCAGGGGCGGGGTTATCGAAACCCGTTACAAAATGATTAAGAACTTATTGGGTCATATAAAACAGGTCACTATAATTTGATATCGACTATGCGATTTGAGAATTTTTGCTCAAAATTTAATTTTCCATAAAAAATAGGGTTTTTTTGGATGGACCTGGTCCCCTCGGTATCAAAAATTTTTAGGTTTTGTTTCATTTATCGTATTTTATGTAAAGTCAGCTTTCCAAAAAGTATAAATTCTATATACATCTTCTTAGAAACTTTTTAGATAACTTAAAAAGAAAAAGATACTTTTTTCCCAAAAAAATGACAAAAAATCGCCTTTTTTTAATTTTTTAAATTTAAATGCCTATAACTTTGGACTCAGTCATGATTTTTACATAATTCTTTCACTGCTTGGTATATAAACTTGTTGTTAAGCAAATAAAAAAAAATGGCGAAAATCGGAAATATTTGGACCTGCTATTATCAAAAAAACTAAAGTAAGGACGGTAAAAATTTTAAAATTTTAATATTCAAATGCGAATATCTCCTAAACTATAAGAGATAATTTACTGCTACGACGACATTTTTTATAGTGCTCGATGAGGAGATTCTATATACGAAATTTTTTTTAAATCGGAACTCAAATGAAGAAATAGGATCGTTTTAAAAATTTAACATAGCCGAGGTGTCCTAATTTGAGGACCCCCCGCCGGGCCCCTGGTTGGCCTATAAGGTCCAAATTCAAAACCTAAACTCGACAACACCTCCTCTTTGTGCATACCAAATTTCATTAAAATCGGATTAACCGTTTAGAAGTTACCGAATTATTTCCCTCTTTTTTTTTTCCTATACCACTGTGCGTCAGTGTCAATCGTAATTTATAAACAAAGTAAAAAGTTTAAAATTTATCAATATAAAAGTGAAAAAATTTAAGTTTTACCCATAGAAAAGTGAAAAACATGTAAGTTTAATTAATGTAGTTTTTGTGGAATGAAAAATAATAATGTTTTATATTCTGGGACCAATGCAAATAAAATTAATGCAAAGCAAAAGGAAATATTGTCCCAATTTATGGCTGAACACCCGCAGTTGGCAAAAAATATTATACCAAATTGTGGCCAAGGAAGGGCTGTTGCCAACAGACTATGGGAACAACTGTCCACAAAGTTAAATACGGCTGGTCCGCCAATTAAAGAAGTAAAGTCATGGCGCAAGGTAAGATACCTACTTATTGTATTTACGTTTTAGGTGTTCTAATTTCATGCATATTTATTTAGGTTTTTACTGACCAGAAACACCAAGTAAAAAAGAAATTGTCTTTTAACATGGCATCAAAGAAAAAAACTGGAGGAGGTCCTTATGAGGAAATGCCACTTACGCCAGCTGAAGAGCAAATTCTGCAGGCCGCTGGTTTAGAGGCTTCAGTTGAGGGCCTTTCCTCAATTAAATCATTTGGCTCCTCTAAAGTGATAGATAATATTATGGGAGAAATTGAGTCATCAGGATCAAGCGAAAATAGTGGTTATGAGAATATAGTTAAGGAAACGGATAAAGAAAATAGTAATGTTGACATGGAGTGTGAAAATTTGCAAAAAGAAGAATTAATGGTGAATAAAAAATGTGCTAAGAGTGAAAATAAATTAAACCTACTTAAATCGAATCTCGAAAAATTTTAAGAGTCACAAAACATGTTAAACTTGAAATTGGACCGGTTGTTGAATCTAATGGAAAGATTGAATGAACTGAAGACAAAATCTCTTAAATTGAAAGAAGATGAACACGTTGCAAATATGGCCATCAAAACAGTGGATCTAGAAATAAAAACTTTGGAGTTGGAGATGCTTAAGCAAAGAGTTTAAATGCTGTTTATGAAAAATGGAGCTTGATCAATTTATGTGATTTTAATGAGTACAAATACTTAGTATAAATGTTATACAATAAGTTATGTGAAATGAATTTTTTATTTTTAATATAAAAACTTATAAAAATTGTTTTATTTATTTCTCCATAGGGACAATTTAATATGATCCCTAATTTTCTGACCAATTTTGGTCAATTGCGTTTCATTACCAACATTAGTTTCAGAATAAATAGTTTCAGCCATTGGAGACTGTGTCTGTGTGTAATTCGGGACCTTAAAATGAATACACACATTGTGTAAGGCGACGCAGACATTAACAAAATGAGCCATTTTTTTTTGGGCTGTATCGACTTCTTCTGTCATTACTTAAAATTTTCCAACGAGCTTTAAGTATGCCGATTGATCTCTCTACAATACATCGGGCTTTGGAGTGTATTTCATTAAAGTATGCCTCCATTGAGCATTCCTCTGGATTTCTGTACGGAGTTATCAACCATGGTTCAATCGGGTATCCTGAGTCTCCTTTAGTATTATTAATTACTTTTGAATTTACTGTTAAACAAAATAAAAGTGTTCAACTCACCTAAAAGCCATATATTTTTAAAATTTTTATTATTGTAAAGTTTTTGTAAGTTTTTTCTTCAGAATGTTTCCACACAAATGAATCATGTGCCGCTCCACCATATTTTGAATTTACACTTAAAATTTTATGCTCGTGGTCACAAATCTTAAAATATTAATTACATTTAATAAATATAATATATGTAGCATTTAATTATAATACCACCATAGCATTAAGACTGTGGAACCCCTTTCTATTAAAGAACATATGCTCGTTTTTGTTTGGTCTTTGGAGGCCGATGTGCGTTCCATCTACACATCCAATAACTTAAAAGAGAGATGCAAAGTAAAATTATATCTTAATGTTTACATGATATAACCAACCTCCAGGAATTTTATATTTTTTGAAAAAGTAAAATTTTATAAATTTTGGGCAAAGTTTTGTTTCCATTTCTTGAGTAACATGGCTGACAATTTTGGAGACGGTGCTTTGACCTAATCCTACCAAATAGTCATTACCCACTGCATGTTGAAAGCTTCCACTTGCCAAAAGTGAAAGTGTGGCTGCTAACTGAATCTTTGGAGGCACTGCTGTAGACATATTCCCAATAAATTCGAGCTGATCAAGTACGTAACAAAATGCCTCCTTTGTCAGTCTGAATCTAGTTTTAAACCTTAAAATATACAATTAAATAAACATGGATCTAAAATTGTAAAAAAACATCTTACGCAATTGTCGGCAAGGTTAGTGGATCACTTTTATCTCTAATTTCTTTTCTAA